TTCAGTTCAGGAGGAGCAGAAAAACACAGAGGTTAAGCTAAATGTTGATTTATTTAAAGACAGTGACTGTGTATTTGCTGATGCATTAAAGTTATTCAACTCATTCATGTGTGCTGTTGTTATCTAATAGGATTTAGTTAAATGCATGTTTCTAGTTAACTCATAAAGTCTTTTTCTTAGTAGACTCAAATGAAATTAGCTCACGGTATAACTATTTAATGGCAAATTTCCTCAAATGAAATGAGTTTTCTCAGGTTTTAATTCAATGCATTATTAATAACAGTAATATACTGTAAATAATACAGTAAAGAACTGTAAATTCACAGCTGGTCTTGTTTTGCTTTTTTTACAGGTGTGCTGTATTTTTTACAGTATAATTGTAGTTTATGATTTACAGTACTCTTGTAAAATGTACAGGCTTACTGGCAACCAAAATTGCCAGTAAGTTGCTGTAATTTTTACAGCAATTTGTTACAGTGCAGGGATTATTACTCTATTATTAGAGTATTGCTTTGACACACACAGACATCAAGATTCAGTGTATGAATCTCTACAATGGTCATAGTTTGCTTTTTTTCACAGGGATTTACTGCAGTGCGGTTTTCTGTCTCATTGGCATCAGCATTTTGGAGACCATTCTTGTGAATTATCTGAAGGCTAAAGGAGCTAAGCAGAGATCAGTGGAAACAACATCTACTGTTAGTGGCCAAGATGGTAAGAGTCGACACAGCATCTGATTTCTGTATTTTATACTTTTACTTCACAAATTAATGTTTTTTAGTTAAATTAATCGATTTGTTTGTTTTGTTACTTTGGTACATATGCAAAGAAAAGCAAATAAATTTAATTTTTGAGTAAATTAGACATGAAGAAAATTTGAACATGTTCGAGCATCCATTTGCCCCTAGTACAAGCGTTTTGATGGATGAAAATAGCACATGTAAAAAAAAAAATTGTGTATGAAACAAACCCCTCTAAAGCCACACATGAAATTCATTTGTTTTTCTATAACAGAGTATCACCAAAGATTCCACATTGAAAAATCATATATATAATTGAGATTGTTCATACCACACAAAATAGCATCCAGGGACTTGCTTTGATGTTTTCCTCTCACAGGCGGTGTAAAAAACCAGCAGAACCCTCCAGCTTCAGTTAGAGATCAGAATGAAGAGCAGTCTTATACCCTCGACCTTCTGAACCAGATCCTGATTGAATGTCAGGCTGCAACTCGACGAAACCAACAACAGAAGATATGTCTGTACTTGACCAGTGTGGCAAGAGTCATTGATGTGACCTTCTTAGTTCTTTACATAATCACTATTATTGTGTTTCTGTCTGTGCTTGGGAAGCTTTGGATTCCATAGTGATGTCTTGTACTTAAGATCACACAATACTACATTTTATTCAGAGTTAATATAAAGTTTATATCAAGTTTAATACACAAGAATTCATGGGCAAAACACAAAGATTCACAGGATCTCAAGTGAAAAAAAAAAGAATATCCCTATAATTATTTATAAAAAGTAAAGTTACATATACCAATTAAATTACATAAGTATCAACAGAATCCATCTTACCATTTATCAAAATCCATTTACACTGCAATTGCAATTGCCTAAATAATGTAATGAGATTAATGTACTAATTATAACATTTTGAATATATAAATATGTAATGTTGAGAAAAATTAAATGATACTATTATATATTAAACTAAAACTGCCAGTAGGTGGCAGCAAGTCGTAATAAGTGAATCATAGAATCATTATTTCAAGCAATTCGTTCAAACAGGCTGATTCCTTCATGAAAGATCAAGTCGCCCACTAAACCCTCATTCCCTATTCCTAGTCAAGTAATACTGTTCACTTGAAGGAGTGAAGGAAAAGGAGTTAGTGAATTCGGACAGCCGTTGATTGTACACTCGTTATTGCGGTGCATTGTGGGATTGAATGAGTGCACTCAATAACGTGGTTAGTGCACCCACTATGGTTTCGGACACCACCACAAATGGAAGTCCCCTCAAATAGCGCCCTATTTGAGGGTGCTGGGGCCGATTTCGGATTCAGCCCAAGTGTCCATTGACTTTATGAATGGGTCATTGAATTATTGACTCGCCCAATTCGTTAAAAAACGATGAATCCTTCAAGAATTACTTTTCTGCTTTGTTTCGAACTGTTTTCAAACAGTAAAATTTGACAATGGTATGTCTAAAAATAGTAAATTCACATAATCAACTGTTTATTAACCTGCTATAAAATGAATTTCACATTTTACAATTGTGCTGATATTTGAGGAAAATAACACTCGTGTTCATGTGATATTGCTTATGTTATCTAAACACAAAATACAAGAATTTGGCAATTTATATCCTGAAATTGGGGGCATTTTTATTCATTTTGGTGGCATTTCCGACCTTGCATGATGCTAATTTACGTCAATGCCAGACTAGGTTGCTTGTTAAAATTAATGGAGGGGGATTAAATAAATTAGGCTGGCTGTATCGAAATGTTTTAAAGGTGGTTTAATTTTACAGTGGTGACAAACATTTCCGAAGTGTAGGGCAAACACGATAAATAAAGCAGGTCTGGAAACGTGAATGTGGACGCTGCTCTGCTGAGCGCTGTGGTGGATGTGATGGCAAGGATGTCGATGAGACTGGATTTATAATTATTAAGAATGAGTTGTTCTGCACATGCTGAGAATTTATTTACAATTGATGCCACAGGCCAAATTTAAAAAAAAAAAAAAAAAAAAAAAAAAAAAAAAAATCTTATTAAGTCAGAGGCCAAAAGGGCAGGGAGGTATCTGTGCTCTCTATTGTGATGGCCGAACCTGAGGCCACACATTAATGTAACTTTGCACGCATTCATTCATTACGCATACGTTTCACTACACAGTCATTCACACAGTGATTAGCGGAGGGTACTGAGATGAAACCACCAATTCATTTTCTTCCTCTTTATCTACACTTTTATTTACTTTATAATACACTATGTATTTAAGGTGTATGATGCATGTGATAAAAAACATTACACAGATTTTGGATGACTCTATTGCAATACTTTATTTAGTCATTTAACTTCCTTCGTTGGTTTGGAGTTCACACTTACTAGCTTGCATTGTGCTATTTCTTTATCCCTTATGTTTGTTCCTATTAAGTTTAAGTTACCGTGAGTTGGAGCTGAGATGAATGGCGTCAGCCACTGCATGTGTGTTTATCCGTCATAGCAATCTTGACTGATAAAAGCCTGGCAGCAAATAGATATTTAATGCCTGATTCTTTTCACCGATACTAACTAGAAGCAACGTCATAGGGGCGGTGAAGGGAACGAATATATATTATCAACATTTGTTGTTTTGTATTATTATTCAGTTTACATTGATTAGATGAATTGTAAGAATAAAATTGTCTCAGTTAGGAGGGGGGGGGGGGGGGGGGGGGGGGTTTGTTCTGTTCATTTTCCTTCGTTTTCTTAAACTGAGGTGAAGGTTGAAGTTTAATTTAAGTTTAACTATTATGTGTTACATTATTTTTTAATTAAGTTGATTAAGTTTGTATTCTTTATTAGTGAACATTTTTGATTGGTTGGTCACAATAAAAACTATGTTTGTTTGGAAATCATGTGTCCGCATGCCTTATTACCAGAGGAGGAAAGTCCAGTGGTCAGAAAGTAAAAGTCCTGCCATATTTGTATTCCACCCACAGCAAAACTCCAGTGTTAAATGAACTTTCCTGGGAGTTTATTTGGATCCAGACTCAAGAGTGTTAAAGTTAATGAGATAATTAAGTGAATAATAGAGTGATGATTGGCCATTACTGAAGACACCTGATGTTAACAAGCAGAATCACTGAAGGAGAAAATCTATATTTTAGTCACCATTATGGCGATCAGTGTTTGCTTTAGTTGGGCAGTTGACCTTTGAATGTTTAACTTAAGATTTTGTTTAGCTATTGTAATTGAATTTTAACAGCCAGATGAGCAAAAAGAAAAGGTGTTCAGATGTCGTCAGTTATGTTTTGACATAATCATGATTTGACCTGAATCACTGAACTCATTTAGAGTCTAATCTTTGACTTTAATCTATAATGATCATAACAGCATCACAGTGATTCTGTAGCTTGAGATCCAGATTTTTCAATATAAACCAAGAGTTATCTTAAAAGTTGTTCTGATAAATAAATAAAAAAATCTTTCTTTTAGGCACACACCGACATCAATATTCAGTGTATGAATCTCAACAATGGTGACAAACAGAATATTCAATTAGGAAAAGGAAATGACTAAGACAATTCAGATCATAATTTATTCATACCGCAATGCATGATGGGAGCCATGAATGAGTTTTGATTGGTGGCACCCAGAATGCACTGCAACATGCTCTATAATTGTCACCATTGTTGAGATTCACAGGCTGATTTTTGATGTCTGTGTGTCCAAATAAAATATTTTTTCTTTTGAATAGAACAACTTTTAAGACATTTTTTTGGACAATGTTTAAATTACAGAAAAAAATTATATTGTGTTATCAAACTCTACAAATGAGTTTTGTGACAAATGATAATTATGTCAAAACATAACACAAATCACATCATCAGTCTTCCTTGTTGTTAATTTGGCTGTTATAACTCAGGTACAGCAGTCAAACAAAAACTAACATTAACAATTTAAGGGTCAAGAGTGCAACTAAAGCAAACACTTATCGCCATAATGGTGACTTAAAAAATGTGACTCTCCTTCAGCGATTCTGCTTGTTAACATCAGGTGTCTTCAATAATGCTCAATCATCACTCATTTATTCTCTTAATTATCTCATTAACTTTAACACTCTTGAGTCTGGATCCAAATAAACTCCCAGGAAAGGTCATTTAACAGTTTTTTTTATTGCTGTGGGTGGAATAAAAATATGGCAGGACTTTTACTTTCTGACCCCTGGACTTTCCACCTCTGCTTATAACCTGGCTTTATCACACACACACATGCTGAGCGCCTACACACAGCAAAATCCCCAGTGTTAAATTAACACTGAGAAGTGTGAATTATATAAACTCTGAGCAGAGTGTTAAATGAACACTGAAGTGTGTTAAAGTTAATGAGATAATTAAGTGAATAATTGAGAGATGATTGAGCATTATTGAAGACACCTGATACACAGCAAAATCCCCAGTGTTAAATGAACACTGAGAGTGTTAGGAACCTGGGTGTGCTATTTGATACCAACTAGGGCTGGGCGATATATCGCACGATATTGTTATGCGCGTCTCTTCAGTAAAGCCGGTTCTTTGATTAGTAGTAAATCGCCTTCACCTGCTTTCAGATGTAAGATATGATGCAGATATGAGTGTTACATTAACACTTAAAGAGTGTTAAAGTTAATGAGATAATTAAGTGATTAATTTAGTGATCATTGAGCATTATTGAAGACACCTGATGATAACAAGCAGAATCACTGAAGGAGAAAATCTAAAATTGTAAGCCACCGTTATGGCGATCAGTGTTTGCTTTAGTTGGGCTCTTGATCCATATACTTTAAGTTTAAATTTTTGTTTGTCTGCTGTTGTTGATTTATTACAGTCAAATGAACAAAGACAAGTGTGATCTGATAGTGTTTGTTATGTTTTGACATAATCATGCTGTGATCTGAAAAATGAAACTCATTCAGATGATCTTGTTTAATTTGATAGCAACAGTTTAGTGGTCCTACAGCATATGATACTTGTATGGTTCTTATAATCCAAACCATTTAATAAAAATTGTTCTGAAGAAATCACTTTAAATTCCATTTCTTTAGAATCACAGACATCAATTATCAGCCTCTGTATCTCAACCGTGGTGACAATAATAATCCTTGTTGCCACCAATCACAACTCATTAATGGCTCCCATCATGCATTGCGGTATGAATAAATTATGATCTGAATTGTCTATGTAATTAACTTTTCCTAATTGAATATTCTGCTCATCACCATTGTTGAGATGCATTGACTGAATCTTGATATCTGTGTGTGCCTAAAACAAATATTTTTTTTCTTTTACAACATTTAAGAAATCCTTTACATTATATTACAAATTCTGGATATTTATGCCAAATCTCATTTATGCTGTAACCAACAGCATAAATCACAAACACTTAGCTCAAATGATGATTGTCATAATATAATCAATACCATTACATCTTTGTTTTTCTTCGTTCATCTTGCAGGTATAATTCAGATATGACAGCCTAACAACGTCTAAAGTTATGAATATAAGGGTCAAGAGCCCAACTAAAGCAAACACTCATCTCCATAATGGTGACCTGAAATTCCGGTTTTCTCCTTCAGTGATTCTGCTTCAGGTGTCTTCAATAATGCTCAATCATCACTCAATTAATCACTTAAATATCTCATTAACTTTAACACTCTTGAGTGTGGACTCATATACACTCCCAGGTGTGTTCATTTAACATTGAGTTTTTGCTGTGTAAAGAGCCGTAGTTAACTGACAAGCTGAGCCATATCGCATTAAATATCGCTGGCGATATGTCCTCGATATTAGTGCGATATGGCTCAGCTTGTCAGTTAACTACGGCTCTTTGTAGTAAATGCCGCTCCATCTGAAAGCAGGTGAAGGCGATTTACTACTAATCAAGGAACCGGCTTTACTGACGAGATGCGCATAACAATATTGTGCGATATATCGCCCAGCCCTAATACCAACCTTTCTTTTGAAAGCCACGTGTCTAGTATCTGTAAAACTGCATTTTTCCATCTTAAAAATATATCTAAATTACGCCATATGCTCTCATTGGGAAATGCGTAACAATTAGTCCATGCGTTCATGACCTCAAGGCTAGATTATTGTAATGCTCTACTGGGTGGTTGCCCTGCACGCTTAATAAACAAACTACAGCTAGTTCAAAACGCCGCAGCTCGAGTTCTTACCAGAACCAGGAAATATGACCATATTAGCCCGGTTCTGTCAACACTGCATTGGCTCCCTATTAAACATCGTATACATTTTAAAATATTGTTGATTACCTACAAAGCACTAAATGGTTTAGCTCAGCAGTACTTGAGCGAGCTCTTAACGCATTATAGTCCTTCACGTCTATTGCGATCTCAAAATTCTGGCCAGTTGATAATACCTAGAATATCTAAATCGACTGCTGGCGGTAGATCCTTTTCCTATTTAGCACCAAAACTTTGGAACAGTCTTCCTACCATTGTCCGGGAAGCAGACACACTCTGTCAGTTCAAAGCTAGACTAAAAACACATCTCTTTGACCTAGCATACACATAATACATTATAGACTTCTATAAATTCAATGTTAGGCTGCATAGATTAGGTCAGCCGGAACTGGGAACACTTCCCGTAGCCTCCTCAGACCTGGTTGTCCACATACGTGGACATCACAAAGTCCAGGGGTCAGAAAGTAAAAGTCCTGCCATATTTTTATTCCACCCACAGCAAAAACTCCAGTGTTAAATGAACTTTACTGGGAGTTTATTTGGATCCAGACTCAAGAGTGTTAAAGTTAATGAGATAATTAAGTGAATAATTGAGTGATGATTGAGATATTATTGAAGACACTAGATGTTAACTAGCAGAATCACTGAAGGAGAAAATCTATATTGTAGTCACCGTTATGGTGATCAGTGTTTGCTTTAGTTGGGCAGGTGACCTTTAAATGTTTAACAAAATATTTTGTTTGGTTGTTTTAACAGCTGGATGAACAAAGAGATCAGATCAGATCAGATGTTGTAGATCATGTTTAGACATAATCATCATTTGAACAGAATCACTGAACTCATTTAAAGCCTACTCTCTGACTTAAATGTATAATGATCATAACAGCATCACAGTGATTCTATAACATTATATTCAGATTTTTCAAAATAAACCAAATGATATCTTACACGTTGTTTTGATAAATAAATAATAATCTTTCTTTTAGGCACACACATACATCAAGATTCAGTGTATGAATCTCAACAATGGTGACAAACAGAATATTCAATTAGGAAAAGGAAATTACTAAGACAATTCAGATCATAATTTATTAATACCGCAATGCCTGATGGGAGCCATGAATGAATTTTGATTGGTGGCACCCAGAATGCACTGCAACATGCTATATAATTGTCACCATTGTTGAGAATCACAGGCTGATTCTTGATGTCTGTGTGTTCCCATAAAGTAATTAGAATAGAATAGCTTTTAAGAAATCTTTCGGATATTATTTAAATTTCTGAAAATATTATACTGTGTAATCAAAAGGTTAAACTCTACAAATGATGATTATGTCAAAACATAACCAACAGCAGCACATCAGCTTTCCTTGTTGTTCATCTGGCTGTTATAACTCATGTACATCAGCCAAACAACTTCTAAAATTAATGAATAAAGGGTCAAGAGCCCAACTAAAGCACTGATCACCGTAATGGTGACTTAACAAATGTGACGTTCTCCTTCAGTGATTCTGCTTGTTATCATCAGGTGTCTTCAATAATGCTCAATCATCACTCAATTATTCCCTTAATTATCTCATTAACTTTAACACTGGAGTTTTTGCTGTGGGTGGAATAAAAATGTGGCAGGACTTTTACTTTCTGACCCCTGGACTTTCCGCCTCTGACCAAAACTCGTGTCTAAGGAGGTTAAATCTTGATGTACTCGCTACATCATAAGAAGAATGGCATCTACGCTAATATTAGTGTCTTTATTTATCCCGAGGTTTTCCCGCAGCCTGCCGGATCCAGGCCGTGTCCAGATCTGACGAAGGAGATTCGCCTGGACCCGATGACAATGCAGTGCTGAAGTATCCACTATCCTCTCCCTATGGAGGATCCCTTTCCCACTCTACAGATAAAGCGCTGTGAATTCCGGCTCGCGTACCCCGAAGTGATAAAATAAAACAAAATTCTGTATCAAAATTTATAGGCAAGAAAAGTAGTTTGTTTAGGCTGGGTTGTATGAATTACAAACCTGCGCACATATTTTAAAAATCACATAACTATAGAATTCTGAATGAGCATGTGAACGCCGTCAGCGTTAATCACAGGTTCGCGTTTAAAGTCTGATCATTTCGACGGAGGTGAATCAATCAAAGTTAACTTTAGCTGGAAGTAACATTATTCAAGAACCGCTATAACGCCAAAACAATCTGTTACCTTAAATTATATGTTTATCTCTGTAAAGCTGCTTTGAAACAATTCATTGTTAAAAGCGCTATATAAATGAAGATGACTTGACTTGACTTGAGTGTTAAATGAACACTGAGAGTGTTAAATGAACACTGAGAGTGTGAATTATATAAACTCTGAGCAGAGTGTTAAATGAACACTGAAGCAGTGTTAAAGTTAATGAGATAATTAAGTTAATAATTGAGTGATGATTGAGCATTATTGAAGACACCTGATAGCCTGGATGCCAGCCCGAACCCCGCCCACAACATTTTTTGATCGGGAAGTTCGGTCTGGACTCGCTCCATTGAGGAGTAATTATGATCGGTTCAGAAATCGTCGGGCCAATCAAATTGTCAGGGCGGGCTTTATACGATGATGGACAGATGATCTGCAGGGACGTAATCCTCACGTTATCAAAGAGCGCTTGGGTTGAACTGGTTTCCCTCACAGATGACTGCCGCTGGAGAACTGAGATGTAGAGATTCCGCTATCGCGTCCGTTGTAAAAGAAATCGACAACGCATTCATTTTAAAAGACGAACAGAGAACTGCAATCAAGGCATTTGTCGATCGGAAAGATGTGTTTGCCGTCCTTCCTATGGGATTCGGCAAAAGTTTAATTTATCAGCTGGCTCTGATGGTAACTAAGAAGATGGGATGCAATGAAAACCCTGTGGTCGTTGTGGTTTCTCCTTTGGTCGCACTCATAGAGGGCCAAGTAAAAGAAGCAACACTCGTTATTTTACTTCTTCCAGCGTGCGTGCATTTGAGTTCTGTAGTTGACAACTGTGCTATGCAAAGTAGTTGACTTACTGCGTTGCTCTCATTGGTTGTGGGTCTATCCAATTGAGTGCAGAGGTTTTTTTTTTCCTGGTTCGGTTAAGACACGCCTCATAATCAAAGCCCTATGAAGCAGTATCAGACTCACATTCTGACTAGAATATGAGTATGACGAAGTCAGGCTAGACACCTGATGTTAACAAGCAGAATCTCTGAAGGAGAAAACCGTAATTTTTAAGTCACCATTATGGAGATCAGTGTTTGGTTTAGTTGGGCTCTTGACCCTTAAATCATTAACTTTAGATTTTGTTTGGCTGCTGTATGTGAGTTATAGCAGCCAGATGAACAAATAGAAAAGGTGATCTGGTGGTGTTGGTTGTGTTTTAACATAATCGTTAATTGACCTGAATCGCTGAATTCATCAAGAGCATAAATTCTGAGTTCAATTTAGCTTATGGATTTTTAAACCATTTTAGAGCGTACCATTTTTAGCCTTTTCAATGAAATCCAAACGATCAAATAAAAAAACAAAATTCCAACAAATATTTTGTGTAGGCACACACAGACATCAAGAATTAGCGTATAAATCTCAGCAATGGTGACAAACAGATCACCTCTGAACATAAGCTTATTATTTATTCATGCAGCAATGCATGATGGGAGCCATGAATTAGGGATGGGCGATATATCGCACGATATGTTATGTGCATCTCTTCAGTAAAGCCGGTTCCTTGATTAGTAGTAAATCCCCTTCACCTGCTTTCAGATGGAAGATATTATGCAGATATGAGTGTTAAATTAACACTCAAGAGTGTTAAAGTTAAAGAGATAATTAAGTGATTAATTTAGTGATGATTGAGCATTATTGAAGACACCTGATGTTAACAAGCAGAATCACTGAAGGAGAAAATCACAAATTGTAAGCCACCGTTATGGCGATCAGTTTTTGCTTTAGTTGGACTCTGACCCTTATACTTTCATTTTTAAATTTTGTTTGTCTGCTGTTATTGATTTATAACAGTCAAATGAACGCAGAAAAGTGTGATCTGATAGTGTTGGTTATGTTTGGGCATAATCATGCTGTGATCTGAAAATTGAAACTTACTGAGATAGTTTGGTTTAAATCATTAGCAACAGCTTTGTGATTCTACAGCATATTATTATCAGTATTTTTCTTAGAAACCAAAATATTTAATAAACATGGTTCTGATTAAAAATAGTTTCAAATGAATTTATTTAGAAACACAGACATCAATAATCAGCCTGTGAATCTCAATAATGGTGACACTAATAATAAATGTTGCAGTGGCTGCCACCAATCACAACTCATTAATGGCTCCCATCATGCATTGCGGTATGAATAAATTATGATCTGAATTGTCTATGTAATTTACTTTTCCTAATTGAATATTCTGCTCGTCACCATTGTTGAGATGCATTGACTGAATCTTGAGGTCTGTGTGTGCCTAAAAGAAAGATTTTTTTTTTAAACAACTCTTAAGAAATCCTTTACATTATATCTAAAATGCTGGATATTTATGCAGAATCACAGTTATGCTGTAATCAACAGCATAAATCACAAACATAAAGATCAAATGATGATTGTCATAATATAACGACATAATTAGATCATTTTTTTCTTTGTTAATCTGGCAGTTATAACTCAGATACATCAGCCAAACAAAATCTAAAGTTATTAATCTAAGGGTCAAGAGCCCAACTAAAGCAAACAATGATCGCCATAACGGTGGCTTACAATTTTAGATTTTCTCCTTCAGTGATTCTGCTTTAGGTGTCTTCAATAATGCTCAATCATCACTCAATTAATCACTTAATTATCTCATTAACTTTAACAATCTTGAGTGTGGACTCATATACACTCCCCCAGGAGTGTTCATTTAACACTGGAGTTTTTGCTGTGTACAAAGAGCCGTAGTTAACTGACAAGCTGAGCCATATCGCATCAATTATCGCTGGTGATACGTCCGCGATATTAATGCGATATGGCTCAGCTTGTCAGTTAACTACGGCTCTTTGTAGTAAATGCCGCTCCATCTGAAAGCAGGTGAAGGTGATTTACTACTAATCAAGGAACCGGCTTCACTGACGAGATGCGCATAACAATATCGTGCGATATATCGCCCATCCCTACCATGAGTGAGTTTTGATTGGTGGCACCCAGAATGCACTCCAATATGCTTTATAATTGTCACCATTGACATTATAGACTTCTATAAATTCAATGTTAGGCTGCATAGATTAGGTCAGCCGGAACTGGGAACACTTCCCTTAAATCCAGATGTACTCATTACATCATAAGAAGAATGGCATCTACGCTAATATTAGTGTCTTTGTTTATCCCGAGGTTTTCCCGCAGCCTGCCGGATCCAGATCTGACGAGGGAGCTTTGCCTGGACCCGATGACAACGCAGTGCTGAAGTATCCACTATCCTCTCCCTATGGAGGATCCCTTTCCCACTTTACAGATAAAGCGTTGTGAATTCCGGCTCGCGTACCCCGAAGTGATAAAATAAAACAAAATTCTGTATCAAAATTTATAGGCAAGAAAAGTAGTTTGTTTAGGCTGGGTTGTATGAATTACAAACCTGCGCACATATTTAAAAAAGCACATAACTATAGAATTCTGAATGAGCATGTAAACGCCGTCAGCGTTAATCACAGGTTCGCGTTTAAAGTCTGATCATTTCGACGGAGGTGAATCAATCAAAGTTAACTTTAGCTGGAAGTAACATTATTCAAGAACCGCTATTACGCCAAAACAATCTGTTACCTTAAATTATATGTTTATCTCTGTAAAGCTGCTTTGAAACAATCCATTGTTAAAAGCGCTATATAAATGAAGATGACTTGACATCTCATTAACTTTAACACTGCTTCAGTGACTTGACATTGTTGAGATTCACAGGCTAATTATTGATATCTGTTTGTCTTAAAAAAAAAGTAAAAAATCATATAAAGGAAACTTTTAAGAAATTATTTTGATTACATTGTAAACGTTAAAAATATTATGCTGTACAAGGTCACTGCTGCTATAATTAATAAAGTAAACCTAACTCTATATTAAATTAGGCTCTATATGAGTTCAGTGATTCAGGTCATTGTGAGATAATGATTATGTTAAAACCCAACCATCACCATCAGATCACCATTTCTATTTGTTCATCTGGCTGTTATAACTCACACACAGCAGCCAAACAAAATCTAAAGTTAATGAATTAAGGGTCAAGAGCCCAACTAAAGCAAACACCATATCACCATAATGGTGACTTAAAAATTACAGTTTTCTCCTTCAGAGATTCTGCTGGTCAACATCAGGTTTCTTCAATAATGCTCAATCATCAATCAATTATTCACTTAATTATCTCATTAACTTTAACACTGCTTCAGTGTTCATTTAACACTCTGCTCAGAGTTTATATAATTCACACTTTTCAGTGTTAATTTAACACTGGGGATTTTGCTGTGTAGAATGACTGGGGTGTGGGGTTTTTTCATGAAGTAAATTCGCATAGAAACTAATATTAATAGAATGTTAACTAATGTAGTTAACTAGAGTTTAATAAACCCAGCCAGCACAGCCATGTGGGGCCCACATGGGTTTGACCTGGGCTATCTAACTGGGACCCAGCCAGTTTTGTCCACGGTTTCCATGTAGGCCCCACATGGGTTTGCCCAAATGAAATGAACACTTGTCAAGCCCACTTGGCTCAAGGTAGAGTTGACATAGGGGAGACCACACTGAACTTAATATTTAATTAAAATGCTAGTTTATTAATGCATGATTTACCAAGAACAGTAAATGGGAAGCATAACAAAAAGAGAACTGGCCAGGAGTGCCGACCGACGCCAGCCTCTCATTGTCAGGCCGAAATAGCAGGAAGAGACCAAGCCAGCAGGAAGGCAATGATTTTATCAACTCCCTCATCAGTCCACCAATTAGCATGGCACGACCCACCGGAACCGCTCCACCTAAAAGTGACACAGAACATCAACAGTAGGCAATACAGGCTTAATTGCCCACACCTGGCCAAGCCGGGCGTGACATCACTCCCCCCGAAAAAAAAGAGGCCCAAATTAAAGGGACTCCGGATAAACACTCCCAATCTCCAAAGTAACAAATAAATACCAAGTAAATATTAACCTAAACTCAATCACACTGAAATCCCATACCCACATTCAATCGTGCAAGTTCACTCATTTATGCGTGTAAACACAACTGTTACAGCCCATAACCAACACTGACCACTCTCACCCCAAATCTCCACTGTATCTTACCACCCAGCAAGATCCTCACCTTGGATAACTAATTAAGGGAGGACAGAGATGAGAAAAGGACAGGGCAAAAAAAAACAAAAAAAACATCACATCGACTCATCCGGGCCCCGAGAAAGCGCATCTGCTAACACATTGTCAGCGCCACGAATGTGTCTAATAGACAATCGGTAGGGCTGCAAAAACAGCGCCCACCGCATGAGACGCTGATTAGTATTTTGTAAAGACTGTAGGAATGTGAGCGGATTGTGGTCTGAATAAACCACAACGGGATGTAAACCACCCCCCACATATACCTCGAAATGCTGGAGCGCCCAGATCAACGCTAGAGCCTCCTTTTCGATCGTCGAATAATTAAGTTGGTGGCGATTAAATTTGCGTGAAAAATAACCTACTGGTCGCTCAATATCTCGCTCATCCTTTTGTATGAGCACTGCGCCAGCCCCCACCTGACTTGCATCCACTTGAAGTTGGAAAGGGTCATCCAACTTTGGTGCAGCCAGGATAGGCGCAGAACTCAACAAAAGCTTTGCATTCTCAAATGCACGCCTACAATCCTCAGACCACACAAACCTGACTGATTGTTTTAACAAATCAGTAAGTGGGGCCACAACGGTTGAAAAATTACAACAAAAATTTCGATAAAACCCAATCATTCCTAGAAAACGCATTACTTCTTTTTTGGTAGTCGGCGAAGGAAACCGGTCAATGGCCAATACTTTAGCCCTAATTGGCCGCACTTGCCCCTGCCCCACCACCTTACGCAAAAAAAACACGGTGGCCTGGGCAAACTCGCATTTTGCAAGATTCACCGTGAGCGTTGCTGCCACCAACCTCTCAAACAGCGAACGTATACGCGCCAGGTGTATTTCCCAGGTATCTGCGTAACACACCACATCGTCTATGTAAACTGCACACCCCTCCAACCCCGCAATGACACGATTCATAAGACGTTGGAAGGTGCAGGGGGCGTTCCGCAGTCCAAAACTCATACGGGTGTAAGAATACAACCCCGAAGGTGTAATAAATGTAGCAATTTCCTGCGCCCTAGGCGTAAGCGGTACCTGATAATCAGAGGTGGAAAGTCCAGGGG